AGATAATGAAAAAGGTAGTAAGTAGCTATTTCATGACATGTAAGGAAAGCATTAATATTTATAGTTAATAGAATAAATACAAAAGAAAAAAAAGAGTTGCAAAGAAAAGCCAAAGATGTCAAGAAAAGTAGACTGCTTCTTTTTTTTTTTGGTCTTTTTCGTTTTTCTCTGTACCGGGGATCGAACTCACGACTGCCTGCTTGCAAGGCAGGTGCTTATGCCACTGAGCTAAATCCCCAGCCCCTAGACTGCTTCTTGATATCAGGAATAATAAAGCAGTTTCAAGGAGAAAGTTAGTGTCTAAGCAACAGTTCAAGGGAGACAAGTACAACTAGAAACCATAAGTATGTAAAACAGGTGGGGTGATAATGAAAGCCAGGACAAGTAAACAGATAAATTCAAAGGAAACAAATGAAGATCATGGCAATCAGGATGATCTAGTTGAGAGGGTAACAACTGGAGAAAAACATAAAAGGCTACAGTACTTTTTAAAAATGGAAAATGAAAGCAAATGACTAGGGCTAAAATGCCACCATATTGAATTATCTTATCCACAATGTATACTACTGAGCAGGCAATCTGCAGGTGGCCTAAATGTCCCCATTCTTGCTGAGTGTGTCATCTCTAAAGCTTTCCACTTCCTGATACTGAACTATTTTGTGTATACATTACATAGAGGACAAAGAAGATCAAGTATCTGCCCTCACTAAGAGAATTCAGCCAGCATGTTTGTTGCTTGCATACAATGTTTGCTGCTTGCTAAAACACAAAACAAAACAAAATAGTGTTACACCCTTGGCTCTGAGTTCCCCGAGTTCCTCAGCTCTGACATAAACTTACTCCTCCTGTCCCTCTGGGAGGTGTATCAAGGAAAACCTTGTCAAATATGCTGATGTTCACATTGCTTGTTGTGTCATGAATAATATTACTTGTCTCTGACTTCGGAGTCTCCTGTTTTCTGCCAGCAACACTGAAACATTAACAGATCAGCTTATTAATTTGTAAATGGAGTAGTTATTTGCTATCTTTTTATGTTTTATATATATTTCAGTATTTAATTCTCATAATAATCTTAATAAGGTGGCACTAATATGAAGGAGAAGAAAGATTTCAAGATGCAAAGTAATTAAAGACACCTACGAGAAATGCAAACCTAAATCTAAACTCAGATGATTTTTAAAACCTGTTTTATGCTGGGAGTGGTGGCACACATCTATAACCTCAGCATTTGGAAGACTAAAGCAGGAGGACTGCAAATTCCAGGCAAAAATAAGCTACTACACAGCAAGTTAAAGGCCAATTTGGACTACATAGCAAGACCTTGTCTCAAAAACACCAAAACCAAAATCCTGTTTTGTTTTTATGGTGTCAGGCATCAAATCCAGGGCCTCGCACATGTGGACATACTTGAAGCACTGAACCACTGAGGAGTGTGCTCCCAACCTCAAAACTTATTTTTGGTTTTTTGGTTTTTGGTACCGGGAATCGAACTCATGATCTTACCCTTGCAAAATCTGTCCTAATCATTAATTGTCAAGCTTCCTTCTTAGATGATTTACCAAGGACAATTTTAATTCTCCAGATACAAGAGCAAAGTACTCATATCTTCACTACTAAAAATTATGTTCCACAAAACATTAATATTTTGGAAATGTTGATATAATCTTAAACACAAACACACACACACACACACACACACCTATGGTCAAAAATTAAGAAAAACTAGTACAAAAAAATCCAAACCACTGTTGTTACTACAGAATTTCTTATGATTTCTATTTGTTAGTATGTGTCATAAAATCTTTCAGAAACACAGTTTATCACTGTTTTAGAATACAGTTTGGGAAACTACTCTTAAAATGAATACTTCTAATTTTAACCATACACAGAATCCCTTTTTAGTCTTTGTTGTCAACTTGGTACAGGCACATGACACTTTAGAACATCCAAGTTAGAATGTGGTCAAAAGCTTGCAAGCCAAGTTAACTACTTAATACTTTGGCAATATTGCTCTTTTTTCTACCAGGCAAAACTAAATTTCCCATAACACAATGAAACTACCTATTACACCCAATATTTTCCAAATTTAGAAGAATAACAACCATGAGATTTTGTAGCTCTACATTGTTATTTACTGCTGTACTTTGCAAAATTTGGATCTATCTCAAAGAAAAGCCCTCAGATAAAGCACTTTCCAGATAAACTCTGTTGATTGATTAATAGTAGTAAATCATTCTGATAGTTCTGGGCATCACTGCTAACTTTCCAGTATGTAAAAATGAATTTCAATCCTTTTTAAAAGTAATAAATGCCAGGTGTGGTGGTACATGCCTGTAATTTCAGCCCTCAGGAAGTTAAGGCAGAAAGATCACTTCAAGTTTGAGGCCAGCCTGGGTTACAAAGTGAGTTCAAGGCCAGCCTAAATTGCATATCGAAATCCTATCTCAAAAAGACCAAAAAAAAAAAAAAAAAAAAGTAATAAACTTAGCATATTATTTCATCTTCAAGTATAACTGCCTATCTCCTAATTTAGCCTTAATTTAACATTCAACAAGCAAAGCCCTATATTGTTCCACTTTATTAATTCCACTTTAAAAAAATAAAACTGTAAAAAGTAGTCATAAAACAGTTGACTTCATCATGTAAGCCAGAGTTGCTGATTGTTATCTAGCTACAAAGTCTATTCAAAACGTACATGCAGCTGCTCCTGTGTCATATCTAGATATAGTTATTAATAAAGCTATTCTCAACAAAGCAAAGTTACTCTGGATAGATGAAATTAAATTACTAGGTAATTAAACACTAAATAAATTAAAATGCAAATTTTCATCGTTAGCATTCCCTAATGCTGTCTTACAAGAAACACCAAAAAAAAACACCAGTTTATAGTCTCCCTAAAAAGAAAGATTTTAGAATGACTGATTTTTAACCTTGCTCTCAAGAAATGCCTCCACCCATTCAGAGTCCATGCACAGGGCATGGCTTTAGCTGGGGTTAGGATTAGGAGGGGTAATAAAATACAGCAGACACTGTTCACTTATTTGAATGTAGTTGTAGAGAAAAAATATTCCAACAGTGAAATAACAAATTTCAGCACTGCAGTAGCAAGTTTTTAAAAATACAGTCATGACTAGTTATATTTAAAGCAAATATAACAATATGATAAAATACTTAAGGTACAACTACATTAATTAAAAATATTTTCAGTAATGATTTGTGTATGAAACCATAGCTGATTCCAGTAAGTCAAAGCAACTAAAGAGAAAGAATCATTAAGTACTGAAACAGAAAGGATTCATACCAACTCATTAGGAAAAACAAGTAAGAACAGGAAATAATAGAAAAACCAAAAAAGCATCACTGCGAATATTATCCAGCATTTATCTATTTTATTCTATTTTTGCTAACATTTACAAAACCAAGGATTTTTTTTTTTTAATATATCAGGGATGGAACTCACAACTTCACACTTGCCAGGTAGGCACTTATGCCGCTGAGCTAAATCTCTGGCCCTAAGGATGGTTTTTTGAAAAATAAACCAAAAGTATATACACTACCATCTTGAAAAATTACCTTCCACATTGGTAGCAATATTTTTTAAACTGTTCTGAATATACTAATAAAACACTCAGTGCCCAAACTTGCAACCCAAGACCCACTTGTTTATCACAAAATGCCAACACTGCAATTTAACCTGAATACGGAGCTTCAGTTTAGAAAAAGCAACCCACACATTAACGTCTTTGACTTAAAAGAAAAATGTAATAACATGTATGTCATAGATTCACCACAACTAACTTAGAGGTTTTAAAAGATGTAAACCAGATGACGATGCATCATGAAATACTGGAAAAATGAAAAAAATCACATAAAACCGGGATCTCATTTTTCAGTATTCTTCATATCTGTCAAACAATTAATAGAAACTTTTAGTTCACATATGTGCAAAAATACATGAAAGGTGAAATATGAGACCAACATATTTACTTTTGTACAATTTTTCAACTCTGTACTGCACCATCAGCAGTACGTGTTTTTCTCCTCTCCCTCGGGTCTATCTAAATTATCATCTGGAAGTGTACAGATTAACACGCTATCCAGCTATAAGAGAACAGTCAATTACATTGAGTCCATTTTAAAATAAGGCCTACGCTAGCTACAACAGAAATCTCCAATGACACCATCAGAATACACGAAGGAAAAATTCAGAAGAAAAACTGACAAAGAAAATACAGAACATCGCATTTCACTCATTTAAACACTTAAGAGTTTTATGATTATGCTTTAAATCCAATTAAATGAAAACTAATTTTTCAAACAAGAGCAAAGTTTTTGCCTAACAAAACTCCTCCCCCACCTCCTGCCATAGGTACGTGTGTGTGTGTGTGTGTGTGTGTCTTGTCTGTGTGTGTGTGTGTGTGTGTGTGTGGATATACATGTATATGGACTGGGGAAAGAAGAATGCAATCACTTTTAATACTAACGTAATGAAAAAGGACAAAATGACAAGGTTATCTAGAGAAAAGGCAAGCTCAGCACTAGTTGTTCTCCACAGTTCCACAATTCCTAACCCACATTTTTTCCAAATTTTCTTCTACCTTCTGTAGTGCTTACACCCGCCCCATCTTTCTTCCACTCACCGCACTAACAACGGCAATCGCTTTCCTGACAGGTACATGAACTTAGCCTCATTTACAACACAAAATCGACTGACACGTCTCAGTGTGACTGCGTCAGGAAATAAAGAAATGATAAGGTAAGAAAGAAAATACAAACAAGTTTTCAGGAGAAGAGAGGGTGTTGTCAATGGAGGGTACACGGGGCGAGTGGGTCTACGAAAAGACCTGGGGCCAAGAGGGCAGGACGTTGGAGTCTGGAGCCAAGGTCCAACAGAAAAGGTGTGCGGCCGGAAGAGCAAAATAATCTCTAGCACGTCCCTTCGGGAATAAACTGAGGAACGCGACCGGGCTCCTGGGAAGAGCAGAAGGCCGGAAACTCACCACCTGGTAGCGGCCAGTCCCGGGCTGGTGATGGTCCATCGTGCTGGGATCCCGGTCCAGCGCGGGCAGGACGCCGCGGCCCTCAACAACCTCGGCCTCCCCGGCTGGCGACGTCGGAGCCGCAGCGCCCCTTCCGCCTCGGTTTCTGCCGCCGCGGTCGCCCGGCGGTGCCGCTTCACTTCCTGTCGCTCCGGCAGGCTCCGCGGAGACCTCCGCGTCGCTCGCAGTTCGCGGGGGAAGCTCCGGGCCGCCGCGCGCGTCACTGGGCATGCGCGCGCCGGCCGCGCATGCTCGCTGGCTCGGCCGGGCTTCCATCCGCTCTGCGGACTCGCAGGGTGTATGTAGCTGGGAGGGAGGTGATGGGAGAGTGAGGCAGGTGCGGGAGAGTTCGGTAGGTTGGCAGCTGGTCGGGAGTGGGCGGTGGCAAAAGAAGCAGGCAAAGAAAAAAAAAAAAAAATAGCCATCCATGATAGGTTTTTTTCCTGTGTGCGCCGATTTCACGCAGGGACGAACGAGTGCGCAATCTTTGCCGAGACGACACCGGAGAGAGCGAGGAAGCATTTTTAGACTCCCAGAGCTGGTCGTGATTTTACCCAGCGTTTCTCCTATTACTCAGGCAGCCGTGGGCAGCGCGAGGAGGTCCATCTCCGGGACACTCCAAAAATGCTTCTTTAGAATCGTTACTCAGATACGGGGTTTTTGTGGTTTTCGGATTACTTTTAGAGGCGCTTCAGGTATCCAGAAAAATCGAGGCGGTACAGAGACAGCACAGGTACCCTGTGCCCCCACACTGGCTTCGCCCTCTCCCCCCCTCCCCGTTCTCCCCACTCTGCTGGTGAGTCACCAGCACACCCACACCCACACGCACCTGACTCTCCTACCGCGCATGCTGAGGCCAAGGTGTGCACCACAGTTCATTCTTGGCGTCATACCTTCTAGGGGTTCAGGCAAATTTATTACAACTATCCACCGTTAGGGTGTTGTATAGAGTATTATCACTGCCAAGAAAAAAAAAATCTCTGTGGAATAATTTTATTTTTTTAAAAATTTTCCCTTTCTTAATAAGACTCCAACGGAGTTTTCAGGCTTTCTCCTATGTTCTGCAAGGAGAGAGGCCTTTAGAGTTCCAGGATACAGAAGGGATAGAAAATAACGATGAGGCTGAGGGTAACACAAATATAATACTCAAAGCAAAAATGTCTAAGCGCTTGATAGGAATCACTTAGATGAAACGTGATTCTGTCTCACATCAGACTAACCCCCATAGCTACCACTGCGCATGCATTACACAAGGCAAACAGCATGTTTCTGTAGTATGGTGGGGCAGGAAAAAGTATTTTTTTAACCCAAAGATGTGCTCTTTATACCCTGATAACTATAATCCCACAAGATCTGACCCAGCTATCATTGGGGGGGGGGGGGTTCTTTTTTATCGGTACCAGGGATCGAACTCACGACTACCTGCTTGCAAGACAGGCGCTTATGCCGCTGAGCTAAATCCCCAGCGCCCCCCCCCCAGCTATCATTTTTAGGAAAGCCAGACCCCTTTTTGCTAATTGTACAGTGGAACACACACAACAGCCTCATCCCTCCCTCCAGGGGCTGAAGAAGAAGAATGAGCTCCACTCACTTTGTACTTCTCTCATTAGTGTGCACGGGAGATTCCTGGAGTGAAGAATGCCACTTGGATGGGCCTAACCAGCTGTTTTTAACATCAAGATACAAGGAAAAAAACATCTCCTTGAGAGATCATTGACTAAAAATGTAAGCCTTCCTGATAGTGTGATTTCTTTTGTTTTTGTTTCTCAAAGCATTGTTCAGCTCTTCCTGTTGCCATCTTGACACATCTAGCAGTAGAGAGCACTGCTGGGCTAACCAGTAAGGTAACCTCATACTTAAATTACCCTCAGTCTGTTCTCTTGTGATCTAATAATTTTTTGTGGCTTGGTTTGGTTTGGTTTAGTTTGAGACACAGTCTTTGCTTTATAGTTCAGGCTAGCCTTGAACTCACTATATAGTTCAGGCTGGCTGAGAACTCATGGTGATCCTCCTGCCTCAGTCTCCCGACTGATGGGATTATAGGCCTGCACCACCACTCCTGGCTCAAAATATATTTTAGATTCTAAGACAATAAGTATATAACATCTTGTTGGTATTATTGGTATAAGTACTCATCCTCACAGTATCTCCTCCAAATGAATTACCTCAGTGAGCAAAATAACAACCAGTGTTAGCAAACTAAAGGTAGATTCCTAAGTCAGTTACAGTCTGTAAAGTTGATTTAGAGTTAAATTTTACATGTGCTTGTGATTTTATCAACCACTTATATGTTCATTCTTTCTCAGATAGACTGCTTCTCAGAAAGGAGGCCATTTTTTACACCCAGCACCACACTGAGAACATAATATTGAAAAACAGACCTGACCAAAAGTAGACATTCTGAGTCTTGTTAATGTGACAAATTCATGTTCTCTGAACATTCTGCTGTTCTAGCTGAGCAGGTGATAAAACTCAAAAAAAAAAGCATATTTTCAGTGAGTGGGAGTCAAAGAGGAGGCGGAAGTAGAACAGTAATTGACAAGTATTTCTTAACCCAGGCGCTGTGCATTGACATTTCATTCTCACCACAACTCCGTGATATACTCCTGAGTATAATCCCTGCTTAACAGAGGAGGAAGCTATTGCACAGAGGCGCTCTGGAATTTTCCAGTGCCAGTTTACCAGTAAGTGGTGACCAAGCGCTAGGCCTCCACTATATTGACACTATGCTGTGGTAAATTCTCCAAAAAAAAAGTTGAAAAAAGAAACTGTCTCTTTCCCCTTTATGGCCTTAATTGCCACCTTCACCTATATGAAATAACAATTTCATATCGACCCCAAAAGAGCCCATTGTGAACTGCTTTTGCTGACCTCACCCCAGCCTTGTAACTTGTGATGGACCATCGCAAGCACTGAAATGTCCCGTTAGGAGCAACTCCTTTGGCAAAAAAACAGTAGGAACGATGTTCTTTGTCACGTTAGAGACCTTAAATAATAGCCAGTGATATTTTTAATCCTTGACCTTTTGATAGTTATTTAACGTGTGTTTTGTTAAATATGACTCACTTGATGTGGTTAATGTCTCTAATCCAAAATAATCCTCTGTAATCTACATTGTTAGCCTTTTCCATGTAGATGTAAAGTATCTACAGCTTTCACACTGAAGAAAAACTTGTGAAGTTTAGTAGAGTGATGGTTAAGATCATGGGGACCTCTTTATCTGGGACATACTTCCCATTGGGAACCTCTTCCATCTTCCCTGAAGCAGCTCTTCCCTCGAGAGGTAAAGCAGCTTAAGATCATCCATAACTTTGTCTCCTACCCAAGTACACTGAGCCGTGCACATGCACGCGCAAACACACACACATACACAAACACACCCTTACTCCCCAAGGAGCTCAGTCAAGATTCCCTCAGACAGCCATCCACACAGGTCTGAAACACAGGCGGGCAAGTGCTATAAATTTGCCCTAGTGTCTTCTTCGCTGAGCTTTAGTTTTTTTCATTTCTTCTACAGTATAGAACAGATCACAGATCTTAAGATGCAAGAATATGTGATTTATGTATATTTACCTAGAGAAAGACTGAAAAGAATATACCTGAACATCTTCAGACCTAGTTAAAATTCACTAACCACCATTTTCTGAACATTAATTTCTAAAATATATATTTGTGAAATTATAGCAACCTATTGCTTTTCATTTTAGTGAATGAAAATTAGCACACTTCTTACACTGACGTTTCATCTTTATCACTATGCATATGCGTTTTTTAAATAGTTTGCAGGCTTGAACCTCAATTTAGCTTTACATGATGTTCCTGGAATTTAACTGGCTCTGAGATTCTTGTCATCTGTGCAGCTCTCTAATTGTGGAGAGGAAACCTAAAATGAGTAATTAGACAATTAACTATCTCCTTCCCTGCCCTCTCTTTATTCTCTTCCAGTATACCAAAACAATCTAAAATGCAACTCCTGTTTTTCTGCAGTCAGAATGGAACTAAACAGAAGTGTAGGAGATATATATATTAAGAAATCTTTTGTGATAAATTGGCTTATACAGTTGTGAGGGAATGCTGGGTAGGAAAGTCTGAAACCCATAGCTCAAGCCACTGTAACTTTAGGGCAGAAACTAAAGCCTCTGGCATAGAGAGAATGTCTTCTTTTGGAAAACCCCAGCTCTTTACTTACATACATTTGATTGATTGAGTCAAGCCTACTCAGACCATAGTGGGTAATCTTTAAAGGCAACTCATTTTGGACTTCAATCGTGTCTATAAAATACCATCATAGCAAAACCTAAAATTGTTTTCGGTTGGATAGTTGGTCAATAGCCTAGCCCCACTGACAGAGACAACTGATACCACATGTTTATTTAAACACTAAAAGCTAAAATTATCTCTGAATAATAAAGATAAGGGATAAAAGGAAAAGGAGAAAGAAATAGGAGAAAGGGAGGAAATCCCAGGAAGTTAGACATTAACATACAAGTAATTTTTCTATACTTAAGTATTTCCTGTTAGTTTCATCAGATATATGAAGGAGAAATCAGGCAATAATTAGAAAAGGTTTGAATTCTGATACTGAGCTACTTTATGTTAGTCCTAACAATATTTATATTTGGCATATTTCAGTTTTTTTATTTTTTTAGTCCTGGGCAATGAGTGTAAGCAAGTCAATAGTGGCTTTTTATTAGTGATTTCATATTTGAAATTGTGTGGCTCTTAGGTTATTAAAATGCTTTATGCTGAGTATAGAAGGCTATTTTTTGACCATATTAGAGCAGGGTTTTATGTGAAATTGTCTCTTTTTCTATACAACCCAATCACTGTGATCATAGAAAATCTGGCTTGATCCTGAGTAGGTTTCCCTTGACTAATGTGTGATCTTTGTGTAAGAAGACAAAATTCTGTGTGTGTGTGTGTGTGTGTGTGTGTGTGTGTGTGTGTGTAAAATACTGGGTAGAAAAATGTCTCTTGTGTGACAAGATTTTCTTAACGTGTCAGTGAGCATTGATTCTCTTTCCGTCACAGTAGAAACTAGGCCTCATCTGTTAAATAGGGTGTGATGTCAGTTGACTGCTGTACCATTACCAACATTATACAACTTCAACAATAAGTCACCATGTGATAAGGCCACCTCACTTCCTTACTGAGGATAAGGGGCATTTAATATCAGAAAAACAGAACGTGTTAATCAGACGGAATTCCTTATGAAATGCTGCCTGTCCAGAACTAAAGAAGAAATTTATTCCTGTTTCCTGAACTTAACATTCAAAAAGGGAGAGGCCTAGGGGCCACCCAACCAAACTGAGGGAAGGTAATGAGAAAAAGGAAATTCCTTTTATATCTGACAATTATATCCCAAAATAAATAAAATATTTACACTGCCCTTCACTTGTCAATAATCCATAATTTTCATGAGATATCTGTAAATTCTTTATCACTGAAAGAGCTAGTATAATTTTCCCAATAAAGATAAATACCAAGCTAAAATCTTCTTTCTCAAGAGACCAATTCTTAAAAGTATAAATGTTACAAAACATATGCATATACAAATATAGCTCACACAGTGGAAAATCAAACTTTGTTTTTTCATTTGATGTGATCAGGGATTTGGCTAACTATAGTCCCTGGAAAGTTCCTTTTGTCTAAAATATAGAGAAATGTGTTTTTTAAGAGCCATAAAATTTTATCACTTGTGTACTTTCCATAAAACTCTGCGACTCTGCATACCAACAGCTTCATTTTGAAAACATAGAAAGTGAGGCTCAAAGAGGTGAATTCAATCTTACAGATATGAATACATCATAAACTCTACTTGTCAAAAATTCTTTTGGAAATCCAGGAATGGTGGCACACACCTGTAATCTCAGATACATAGGAAGATGAGGCAGGAAGAAAGCACGTTTGTGGCCAGTCTGGGCAACATAATGAGAGCTTATAAAATATAAATAAAATATAAATAGGGCTGGAGATGTAGCCTAGTGGTGCAGTACCCCTGGGTTTAGTTGTCAGTACTACAAAAGAAACAAAAACTGTTTTTGAATTATGATAACAGGCAAATATATTGCCATCAAAAAGGATAAATTCCAAGACAGTTACAAAGCCTTTCAGGAATTCTACTTTGGAGAAAGTAAAACATCTACATTTTAAAGTACATAACATTTGTTTCCCACAAATGTAATCTTTGGAAATATAGCAGATATCTGATATTATGTGTGCATTAAAGCCTAAAAGCTGAACAATGCCAGCCCATATGTACATTTTCATTCATGTAAGTTTAGTATGTACGAGCATCAAACAAATAACATGAATAAGATTCCAACTAAGTTAGCCCAGCCTCCATTTCTTGTCTTACCTTTTTGGTTTTCTTTGTTCATGTTTTGTTTTTGAAACAGCATCTTGCTATGTAGCTCAGGATGCCTATGAACTTACTGTGTAGCCCAGGCTGGCCTCAGACTCTCAGCAATCCTCCTGCCTTAGCCTCTCAAATGCTGGGATTACAGGTGTGTGCCACTACACCTGGACCAGCCTCCATGTTTTAACCATGGGTTTTAATCATGCAGAGAAGAATGGGAAACAGAGGGCAGGGAAACAGGAAAAAAGAAAGAATCAAGATATATCATGTACAGGTACAAATTCCCCATGATGAGTGTGATCATTACATATATCTAAATGGTGCAAATAAACTTTAAAAAATTAAAAATAATTTAAAAATATATTCCCTTAGTCAGCTCAGTCACATTTCTAGTGCTTGGTCACCCCAAATGTCTAGTAGTTACAGTATTGGATACTGTAGATTAGAACATCAGCATCATCACAGAAAGTTCTGTTAGACATTATTCAACCAAACATTCCTTTAGCATTCACCTGCAGTTTCTCTCCTTTCTTTACTTCTTGAGATATCTGAATAATTTTGTAATAGCCTTTGTCTCAACTCTGCCATCTTCTAGCAGTGTGTTCCCTGATTAAATAACTTAATTTCCTGGGCCAGTTTGTTTATCTTGAATGTAAGAATCATAATTTCTTCCCTGTCTCTCTCACAGGTGGTTGTGAAACTTCAATAAAAATGTAAACATACGAATGTGAAGAAGACTTATTTCTGGAGGGACTTCTCCTTTCTTTAATTTTTCTGTTGGCTGAAGGGGACATTCTGCGTTTAAAATATAATAAATAATATAAGGAGTATAAAAACTACCCTCATAGAACTGAAGTAAACTAGGTCTCCCAACTAACCAACGTAATTTTTCTAGGGGACACATACTCATCATAAAGTAAGTGATAGGCTCCAGTGTATGTAACCTCAGAAAATATGTCAGTAGTTGTCTATCAAGGAGTAAAACAATGACATGGTGTGTTCATTAATCATTATAATTATATAAATCATATCTGACATTTATCAAATGCTGTTAGTGCTTTTCCTAACTGCTTTGTATATATTATCTCATTATATTTTCACAATAAACATGGAGTAAGTGCTATTGTTACTGCAAAGCACATAGATTACCAGATTTTTTCACTTTTAACTTTTTATTTCAATATATTTACATAGAAGTATATAGTTAATAGATATACACTTTCATGGTTTCTCATGAACTGAATAAACCCATACAAACAGCATTAAGAAACAGACTGTTTCCAGATCCCCTAAAGACCCATGTGCTTACTTTCTATCTCTACCTACATATAAAGAATAGCTATTATTCTGATTTGTAATACCATAAATTAATCCTGATTGCTCTTTAACTTTGTGTAGGTAGGAAGTACTATATGTACCCTTTTAAATCTGATTCTCTTAATTTTACATTTGTAAGATTTATTCTTATTATTGAGTATAGTGGTAGTTTGTTGATTTTTGTTTCTGTGTAGCACTCCAGTTTGTGAATACACGATTTACTAGTTTTACTGAATAAATATGACTGATAAGTGTTTGAATTTTTTTTTTCTTTTAGGTTGATCTTGGTTTTTGTTTCTTGGGATTGCCATAACAAAGTACTATACCACAAACTAGCCAAGTAGATAGCGCACTTCTGTAATTCTAACACTTGGAAGATTGAGGCAGGAGAATCATGATCATATTTCAGACCACCTGGGCTACAAAGCAAGTTCAAGGCCAACCTTGAACCTACATAATGAGGCCCTGTCTAAAAGTATCACAAACTGCATGACTTAAAAAGAAATTTTCTGAAGATATAGCTCAGTGGTAGAATGCTTGCCTACTATACATGAGGCCATAGATTAAATCTCCAGCACAAACAAACAAATTTCAGTTCTGGAAGCTATAAATCCAAAATCAGAGTGTCTGCAGGGTTAGTTCCTTCAAATTGCTATAAGGAGGAATCTATTTTATGGCCCTCCCCTACTTCTGGTGGCTTGCTTGCAATCTTTGGTCTGTTGGCTTGCAAAATATCTCCTAACCTCTGCCTTTATCATCAGATGGCTTTTTTTTTTTGTGGGTGCCTGTCTGTTTCCAAATTTTTCCATTCCATAGTCATCAGTAATAGTGATCTTTGGCTATTTTGCCTGTGCACCTTTCTTCTTTACAGTTGTTAATCTGGACTTGCTCTTTTTCTTTCCAGTTCTGGCTACAGAGTTTTATGTGTCCACATTCAGTACCTAATATGGGTCCCGCACATAACAGGCCTTTATTATTAATTTGCTCACTAGAATTGGTTTAAGTTCCCATTCCACCACTATATAAAAATAACAATGTCATTTCTCTTAATTTCAACAAGGAAACATTCTAGGAGTTAATAAAAATATAATGAATGCTTTGATTATTTTCAAAGATTAGAAAACCTTTAAAGTTCTCCATGAATTTTAGCCTGACTTTTTTCTAAATATAAACAGTTTTCTAAATTTTTCACTGATTTTGTATTAATGTAGTTCTGAACATTTAGATGTCATCTCGTTACTAGTTTTCCTATTTCCCATTTGCAAATAAAGTCTCTTGAGATCCTCAACCAAGTATTGATTCTCTAATGGGCTAGGGCACTATTAAAGTTTTCATGAGTGACTTTTTATTATGCTAATACATATAAAATTGACCATTTTACCGTTTTAAGTGTGTGTTTCAATGGCATTAAGTACATTCATATTGTTTTGCGACCATCACCATCATCTGTCTCTAGAACTTTTTTATCATTCCCCTAATTTACATTCTGCAAACTTGAATGCTAATTCCACGTTCCCCTCTCCTCCTTGCTCCTGGAAACCACCTTTCTACTTTTTATCTGTATGATTTTGACCTCTAAGTACTTCATATAAATAGGATCATGAAAGTTTTTTTCACTTAGCATGAAATTCTCAAGGTGTATCCATGTGTCAAAATTATACTCCTTTTTGCTGCTAGTGTATGTGGGAATTTCAGTCCATGTCATAGTATATCAGGATTATTTACTTGGCTAAGCAATTTTTTATTATCTGTCAAATTTCTTTTATGCTGTCATCATGGCTAGATATTAGGTTGTTTCCCCCTGGGTAATTTTATTTAATCTTCACAACTATTGCCTCTGGAAAAAATGAATTTCAAATCTCTTTCACTTAAATGGCAGCTTACCTTGGCCAAATTGGACATTCTCGTTGTACTTTAATTTCCTCATTAAAACTGGAAATGACAATACCCTCTTCACTGAACTAGAGTGAGGCTTCAATAGGATAACAAGGTATCTATTATAAAGCTGGCCATTTAGTCAGTATGTAGTAAATGGCTGTTAGAAGTGATTTATGTTGACAGCACACAATTCAGAAGTCTTTTCCATGCATCTCAAGAGACATCCAGACATGCTTTATGCTTTACACAATATGCTTTGATTTATGAAAAGTCATCTTAGGTCAAATATATGTGGCATACTCCAAAGATATTTTTGGCTGTGAATTACCAATACCAGTTAAGGTAGATAGTAATCATTCGTGAAACGTTTTCTTTTTCTTCCAGCCACAGTCTATTTGCCAACATCAGAGAGGTTAAAATATCAACTTCAAAAAGCCAGATATAACTAGCAAAGGATATCAGTGGTTTGTCTTTTTGGGGAGACATGTCTATTCATCTGACAAATAATATTTAAGGAATATAGGCTTAATAGCATATTTTAAATAAAAGCATCATCAGACTCAACTAAAATTAATCTAATTATCATGATAAAAATCTGGGGAATAAATGGCCCAACTTTTCAAAAAGCTTTTAAATGAACGTTTATAGTAAACTAAATCCTCAGGAAGCTGAGGCAAGAGGATTGCCTGAGCTTGAGACCAGTCTGGACTACATAATAAGTTCAAGACCAATTTGCACTGCAAAGTGAGACCTTGTCTCCAAAAAAACTAAATTTGGCCAGACACAGTGCCATACACCTATAATCATCTACTTAGAGAAGCTGAAACAGTAGGACTGCAAATTTGAGGGTATCCTGGACAATTTAAATGAGATACTGTCTTAAATAAAAGTTTAGAAGAAGGGCTGGTGCTGTAACTTAGTGGTAGAGTTCTTGTCTAGCATGCATGAGCCCCTAGGTTCAATTTCCTTTTTTTTTTTAATTTTATTTAAGGAGAAAAGGAAAAAAAAAAGCAGGGAAAGGATACAAGTTATACAGATTTACAGAAAAAAAATGAACAGTAGGAAATCACTAGTTAATGGATTACATATTGTCATCTTAGAAATAATTGTTCAAGTCACAAAATTAAAGCTTGTAGAGTGGACATTCCATCAATGATACTGCAAACAGTTCTGTCAATGATCCAATAAAACTCTGTGATATCATTTTCTATCTTATACACTTAAATATACATGCAGTTATATAGTTTAGAGCACTTTCTTTTCCTCTCTTTTGTACAGTGACTATTACACATTTTGGGTTTCATTGCTCCCACGGTTCTTATTACTTTTTTGAAAGAGAGTAAAACCAAATGTGACATAACAGAACAGAATCGGTCAAGTCAAAAGGGTGGACATAATAGATAATGTAAAAACATAATACAAGGTGATCAACAATGGTTACCATAATGCCTCCCGCTATCTCTAATAGAATTGCCTATATCGTTAGTTATAATACAATTGAACAAAACAGTAAAGAATAAAACCGACAAAACCAAAACATTGGAGACATTGTAGGTCTTCAAAAGTAGATAAAAGTCAACAAGAATGGGCGTCATAATGAATCTCATTATCTTCACAGCTGATGCCTAAACTTTCGAACCTGATACTATCCAGCAAAACAGAATAGGGGAACATCATTTAAAAACCAGATGGTGAGAGTAATACAGGGCTTTAAATCAAGGTAATGAAAAGTCAAAGTGGGTACTATAATATATCCTGCTATTTTTTTTCCTTTAATTAAAAGGATAAAGATAAAAAAGTAAATAATGGAGTGGAGATTGAGATAAAAGAGGGCATAACAACGAAACAGCGCAGATCAAAACATAACCATTTAAGCAGAATAGTGTTTCACCACCAGATAATCCTAACCTAAAAGTAGTTACCATATTGTCTCTTTCTTTGAAATCCTTGAGTACAACTTCGTATACTGTAGCATTAATTATATCAAAACAATGTAAAACCATTCAAGAGAATGACAGCATTACAGAATATTTAGAATCGACTAACAGAAAATGAACAATGGTTTCTGTATAATCTCCTTGTCTTTAAAAGGTTTTTGCTTATACTATCGTACATAATAAAATCCAATAAGATACAGACTATTTAGACCATTGGAGACAGAAGGACAAAAGCTAGATGAGACTTCAAAACAAGATGATACTAAATCAGTATTACCTATTAAGATGTCATTTTCTCCAAAATAGCTGTTCCTATCATCCAATCTTCTCTGCCTCATTTCTGTTGAGCTCTTTTTCTGTCAGTAGCTGTCAGTTTGTCTTCTTCATTTTGTTCTCTGCTCCATTCGTAATATCACTCACACATAGAAACATTACATTTAGATGGTCTTAAATATGAAATATCAGTATAAACAACAAAAAGCTTTTGTATACACTACCACAATTTGTTTTATTTTATTTTATTTTATTTTATTTTATTTTATTTTTGGCATTGGGGATTGAACCTGCATGTTGCACTCGATCCCTAAACCCCTTCTCCATTTTTTGACACAGGGTCTCTATATGTCATTAGGTTGCCCTGGCTACACTTGAAACTAAAATCCTCCTCCCTCACCCAGAGTGCTAGGATTACAGTCACCATACCCACACTTCATAATTTTAATAAACATTTTTCTGATTAAAAAAATTTTTGAACATTCAAAAAATAAATGATTTCTGATATATTACTCTACATCAGTTTGTTCATTAAAATGACAATAAATAATGTATCCACTTAATAGGATTGGCATAAGGAGGAGCTGGGGATTTAGCTCAGCGGCATAAGTGCCTGCCTTGCAAGCAGGCAGTCGTGAGTTTGATCCCCAGTACCAATAAACACACACACACACACACACACACACACACACACACACACAAAGACTGGCATAAGAGTTAAATGTGCTAATACATATACAATACTTACAATAATGCCTCATGTACATGACTTACTCTATAAACTTTGCCTGTTATTATTAGCGTTTTAAAATCCTTGGTATGACACTCTGAGTAATAAAATCTTAAAATAGGATAGATACAATAATTAACTAACTACATTTAAAATCTGTATAAATGTTATGGGCCAAATTGTATCCTCAAATTCATATGATCCCCTAACCCCATATGACTATAATTGAAGATAGGATCATTAAGGGTGGTAAAGTTAAATGATATCATAAAGGTTGGGTCCTAATCTGATATTGGTGTCTTTTTAAAAAGAAGAGGAAATGACACCAGAGATCTCTACACAGGGCACAGAAGAAAAGTCACAGTGAGAAGTGGCTTTCTACAAACCAGGAAGAAAGACTTCATCTACACCAATCTTATTGTTGTGGAAAACTGGAACAAAACCAAAAGGAAGATGCCTTGCACCAAGGAGGAAAGCAAACTGTTTATTTTGCTGGCAGGTTGGTGAGACCAGTCCCAAATCACCAACCTCTGGTCAGCTTTGGGTTTTGGTTATATAGGGTTTGCAAGCAGGAAGTACAAAAGCCAATAGTGAATCAGTTATAGACTATGTCATTAGGCAGATGCAGTTGGAAGGATTGTTTATCACTAGGCGGGAGAGTCTTGGGAGGGAGCTGGAGCAAGGAGGTGGGTAGACATCATGTGTCCTTGTCCTTGACTAGGCTAGACAGTCCTTGGAACAGGTTAATAAAACAGAATATATTTTTAGGTAGGAAAACAGAAGCATGGCAGCTGGACTGGGTCAAGTTGACCTGGACCAAACTATCTACAAAAACCAGCTGGATGAAATCAGTCAAGACTGACTGAGTTTGGTGATCCAGCTATGCAGGATTGGGGGGTGCAGATGAACACATCCTGTCTTAATATGGTATAAAGCTACTAGCTAGCTTTTACATTTTGAATTTTCTGTTACATTTTTAACTTCCTGTTACATTATGACCCCTTATCTTGAACCTGTTGCCTTCAGAACTGTGAGAAAATAGATTCATGTTGTTTAAACTGCCAGTCTATGATACTTTGTTAAGGAAGCCTTAGAGGACTAATATAATTATTTACAGGTAACTTATTCATGATACTTTCTTAGTATCATGAATTATTGGTGTTTTGAGACAGGGACTCGCTGTG